TGGAAAGTAGGTGATACCATGCCCCGGGTGAACAGGGACTCAGATTGAAACGATGTATGCAGGACCCAGGAGCAAGGGGAGGATCGACTAGGAGGTGGTTGTAGCGTCGATGAAGCCCCGTGAGAGGCCAGATTTGAGCTATCGGAGTTGTAGAGGAGGTTGTTTAGTGGTGTTATGGTTGGGTTTCGGATGAAGGCTGAGAGGGAGTCTGGGAGGGTGTAGAAGGCTGTGTCAATGGCGATTGCGAAGAAGGAGAATAGCAGGCCGAAGAATGCGAGAGAAATTAATGAGAGGGGTCTACAGGCTGTTAGTACATAGATGTATGTGTAGATATAGATGGTACGTACTTGTCAATGAAACGAGGCACTAGCTGCAGTGCGGGTATCATGATGAAAGCGGGAAAAGTGATTCTGTTAAACCCGCCCATGACAACCACGAGCGAGAGAAAAGCACAAGTAAACACCGACGACCGATGCTAAATATCCGTCAGCACCAATCTATATAATATCACTGAATAGCTAGTAGAAGACAACCCACCTTGTTCTCGACAATACGCTGTATCAAGACCAAGCTCCAGAGCACCAGCAGCGTCTCCAGCGAGTTTGAAAAGGTATGCGTCTGATATGTCCAGGTAACATAGCAGCTGGCCACAAGCACGACAGCCTGCCTCCTGCGCCGCGGATTCGGCACCAGCTCATGTATGGCCCAGTCCTCGAGGATGAGACTGAGCAGGAACATGGTCAGGCGCAGGACATGGTATATCAGCTGCGGCGGCGGGTTTGGGTTGTCGTTGCCAGTCTCTGCCCAGAGCCACTTGAGCAGTGTCATGGGCAGGCCGTAGACGAGCCATAGCGGGAAGATGCTGCGTATGGGCGTGTCGGAGGTGAATTCCCACGTTAGATGCGACGGAAAGGAGAACAGCCGGCCTGGAACGGTTAATTAGTTCGGACTTGATGCAGGCTTAGTGGGGGAGGAACTATAGGGGGCAGCGCAGCCTTTACCGGCAAAGAGCTCGGGGCCCTGGAAGTTCTCGTCTGGATGGATGTAGCTTGGGCAGAGGGCGAGGTAGACGCGCACCAGCAGGAGCAGGAGATACGTCCTCCGCCACATGGTGAGTATTTATTTATTTATTTTTTTTGAGCGACTGCCTGTCCGCGTCTGGGACTGTCTGGCTGTCTAGAGAAGAGTCTGCGGGCGCATCAGAGGGCCGGGCATGTCTGTCTGGCGCATTCACTCAAGCCACTGCAGGCAACTAAAGGGCTAGTAGTAGTTAGTTACAGGTGGCAGCAGCTTGTTAGTGAGTGGGTTGGTAGATGTAGCCGCAGTGCAGCTAGCAGGACATGCTGGACAGACAGACAGATAGACAGACAGATAGACAGACAGATAGACAGACAGATAGACAGACAGATAGACAGACAGATAGACAGACAGATAGACAGACAGGGACAAGGAGAAGAGACGAAAGGGCCAGCAAAGGGAAGATGGTGAAGATGCAGGATCTGAAAGGAGAAGAAGAAAGGGAAGATGAAATACGAACAGCCAATGACAGGCACAGCTCACATCAGATTGCACAGGAGAAGCTTTTCAACGGAGATCGAGGGCGATGGCCAGCAGTTTAACGAGTTGAACAGGAGGATCTCTGACGGCCTTGGATGGCTATGAAGCTGTCTTACTTGCTTTATCCTGGTGCGGCGTAGACATGGCAGAGTATTTGACTGACTGGCTAGTGAGAGGACAGCGAGGCAGCCATCTGAAGGCCCTCTGGACTATCCTGGCCCTCTCTGACCATCTGGACTGATGTTGGCGAAGTGATTTAGCTGGTTATTTACTGATCTGAAAGGCTAAAGCTACTTTGATGGAGCAGAAGTCGAAAGTACTTTTAGCCGTTGTAGATACGGAGGAGAAGCGCATACTAGGAGCAGTCAAGGCCGTATCCAGGGAGACATACCTAGAAACCCTTACTTAGACTCTCACTGTCTATGGTATTCTCTCTCTCAATCTCTTACCTGACACTTCTTTGCCAATATCTGCTCCTTCACCTCTGTATGGCTGGTAGTCACTATGTAACTGCTGGAAAGATGGAGGCTCCCCAGCGGGTAACTAGCCAGACGTAACTTTGCTGCTGTTGCATCCATGAGCCAGCCTTTGCCTCTTTGCCCTCTTTTGACTTCCTTCTCTTCTTCCATCTTTCATCATCGACTTCTCTTCTTCTTTTCTTCCTCTTCTTCTCTTCATTCTTCATTTATGCCATCATCGACTTTTCCCGCTTCATAAGAAAGAGTATTATCACGTGACACTTAGCCGCCCTTTTCCTCTTTCGGCTTCCTCTTATTTTCTTCTCCTTCTTCGACTTCTTCGACTCCAGCGAACAAACAACGACAACGACAACGACAACGACAACGGCTACACCAACAATAAATAATAATACCGGCATCAAGCAGCCGACAAAGCTGACGGCTCTTCTCTCTCCTCTGAACTCCCCGCCTGTTGCTGGCTCTATAAAAACCCACTCAGTACGCCTTGTTTCCCCAGCTCTTCTCCGACCCCTCCAACGACAATACATACAACTAGCTTCACGAACTGCTTACCCAGCGTAAGGTGCATCAACTGACTGCTTCCACCAGAACACACGCACACACAACACTCTAACACTCCTCGACACCACCAGAACACGCTTCTTTCTCTCCCAGATTAATCATGGCTTCCACTGCGACAAACAAGATCACCTTGACCAGCTCCGATGGGGTTGAAGTCACTATCGGTAGGCACACACCCTTGCCGCTCCGGCACCAGGCAACAGCCTCTCCACACAGCGACTAACTAACTAACAACATCTACAGAACGCCAGGTAGCTGAGCGCTCCATCCTGATCAAGAACATGCTCGAGGATCTCGGCGACTCCGGCGAACCCATTCCCATCCCCAACGTGCGTTTTACCTTTTCCTTCCTCTGTCATACTTGATAGCTAATTACATCATCCACAGGTCAACGAGTCTGTTCTCAAGAAAGTCATCGAGTGGTGTGAGCACCACAAGGGCGACCCCCCAAGCACCGGCGACGACGACGTCGACTCCCGCCGCAAGACCACCGACATCGACGAGTGGGACCAGAAGTTCATGCAGGTCGACCAGGAGATGCTCTTCGAAATCATTCTCGTTCGTTATCCCCTCTTCCGTGTAAGAAGATCCATTGAAGTGGTGTTTTAACATCTTACTAGGCTGCCAATTACCTCGACATCAAGGCCTTGCTCGACGTTGGATGCAAGACCGTCGCAAACATGATCAAGGGCAAGTCCCCCGAGGAGATCCGCAAGACCTTCAACATCCAGAACGACTTCACTCCAGAAGAAGAGGACCAGATCCGCCGTGAGAACGAGTGGGCTGAAGAGTAAGCTTCCTCTCCTGGCCGCTTTTCTGCTACTTATATATAGCTAACAACACATCTAGCCGCTAAAACACAAAAGCATACTACTTACCCCATCCTTACACGATGTCTACGTGATCATGAACCTCTCCCTCAAAAGAAACGTTCCGTCTCATCTTTACTCTCAAACGACACGGCTTCTTTACCCCTTCTTGATATGTTGACTCTTTGTCTTTTTACTCTCTTTCCTGTTTGTTCCCTCCCCATTACACGAGAGGCGTTTGGTTTGCCCTGCTGTTCAATACTCAACTTCTACCCCCAACATTATTGTTTATTTTCTCTATCCCTTTCCTTCGTAGAATATGGGCTGGTTGCATCATCATCATGATCATCATCATCGTTCTCATTCTTGCTTTTGTTCAAGGGAAAACACACCCGGTCGGTACAGTAGCTAGGGAAGTTACGCAGTTCAAGTTACTACAGGAATACATCAATAGTATGAGCCATTGAAAAACAAACATTTACAACTCCTCGACGCTGTTTCTTTTACACTACTTCTCTACAAATGTGGTCTAATATGCTATAGGTCCGATAAATGCACCAGGACCAAACAAATTTTAGCCACATGGGAAACATTTCCTTGTATTGCTTTTCTTTTTGACTATCCCTATCCATATCCTCGTAGCAGAAACATTTCATTCATTGTTCATTTTATACCCCATCCGGTGTAAGCACTTGGTGCGACTTATGTGGCGATTGTCAAAGGTCGAAGGGTCGAGACGTGAAATTGTTGGGATAGAAATGGACGAGAATGTATGTAGAGTCGGAAATGGGGCTGAGAGTAACCGTTTAGATTCCGAGACGGGTCTTGCGCCAGTGTCTTCGCTTGGCGTTGTATCTGTTGGGATATCTTGTTAGTTTATGTCCGAAGATATGAGGCGGTGGTTCCCCAGATGTTTGTGTGTGTGTGCGTGTGTGTGTGCGTCCACCTGTATGTGCTGAGCCTGGTTGCTTGGACGTTGCATAGTATATGGCGATAGGCGTCGTTTCTCAGTTCCACATATCGGTATTGATCAAGCTCTCGTCGCATAGTAACACTCCCAGCGTACCATCGACGACTGGCGACCTCTCACTTCGAGAAATATCGACATTTTCTCCGCCCGCAGACTTTCCATTTCATACCCCTCGACTGGTCCCATACACTCCATACACACGCACGCACGCAGGCACATTCATTCACAAAACCACCATACCAACGCAGCAAAGAGCATCATACCTGATGGTGTTGCCAGTTCTCAACCGAATCCACTGTGGGATAGGTCTGTTCTGCTTCTGGGCTTTGGCAAGCTTCTGCTTGGTGCGGAAGGACTTGTGGCTCTGTAGCGAATCGATCAGTACCGGCACTCCTTTAATAACGCCATCCCGCTGCCCCCCTCATCATCTTCAGCCAACTTACAGGCATCTTGACGGTGTTTCGTGAACTGTCGCGTCCTTGGATATTTCGAGCGTTGCGACGTGAACTTTTTCTATCGTCAGGAATTCAAAAAGGCAGAAGTTCTGTGTGAAGTGGGCTTGGCTCGCTTGGCTGGTTTGGGATGTCACGTGATTAGATCAATCTCGCTTCGAGAAGTTTTGTTAACGACGAACAACGACGACAAACGTGGAACTTCTCGACGACGCCGTGCAGCTAACTACAAGAGCTCTATGGGTTGGATTGGGCTGGGTTGGCCGTTTGGGCTGGCTGTTTCTGATCTATGGATAGGAACTTGACGTCCAGGAAGATGCATGCTTCATGAGACGCGAGGGGCTGACAGTCGAGGTGAAGGTTAACTATGAGTCTTCATTTTAGGGTTACGATTTGACTGGAGATCATCATCATTATCGTTGATGCCTGATGGACTCGGAGCGATCCGTGATGCCTATTCAAGGCACGCAGGACGAAGGATTGGGCGGCGTCCAACTTGGGGATGACCACGGAACGCACAATCCCCCGTATCCGCCGAATTTACCCAACATCCAGCCCCCATGACAAATGTAACACATCCTCTATCCTCATCTCGGTAAACGAGTAAACGAGGAACGAAGAATTTCCTTGAAAAGCTTGAACTAAACTGGATGTTTTTCGATTGGGGTAAGGACCCCTTACCGCCACCACGGTGCTCTCTCGTTCTGTCCTGTGGTGTCTGACATCCCTTTTGGGCGGTCAAATCAAGTTCCCGCCAGAAATAGGGGACGTCTAGGTACGGAGTAAATGGGGCTCTTGTTGAGCTTCAGCAGTCTGCCAAACGAATCTGTAATGGCAAGTGGATCAGGGGGTTGAGCCACTCCTCGCTTTCTCAGTTTCTAAGCGAGCGGAGACCAAACTGGATTTAGCGCAAGAGCCATCCTCCCAATACTCTTCTTCGCTCCCGACGATTACTCGGCTGCCGACGACTAAAAGGATTTTTCCAAGGCCGATTGATCCACACACAAGCGCAGTTTCTGCACTTCAAACTTGAGCAGTATCAATCAGGATTCAACAAATCTGCCAAGGTCCCTGCCAACTTACGGCGTATTGCGTATGGCGTATTCATTGAGTATAGCAGGCTCCCTCAATTCAATTCGGAGCAAGCCAGGGAAAGCAACGAAATGCTGCAGCCTAGTCTCGGGAATCGGATAGATTGAAGGTGCGGTAGTTAAGCAACTGGATCCCTTCCGGAGTTAAGCTTTTCGCGCCGCATTCAGCAACCTCAGAATACGCACTTCACTTTGCTGCCTGGCCACCCTAGAAACGTGGGCAACAACCTGAAACTCGCGAATATCAAAGCAATCCATGCAAAAGAACGGAATAGAAATGACTGGTGTCTGCATACGCAGTCCATCTGTTGACATAAATTTATCTATACGACCCATGTCCCCGATTGAGATATGATTGCGACCAAATCATCTTATTCGCTGGCTCGTATTCGAGGTGAGTCAACCGAAGTTTTCAAAGATGCATAACTTTTTTTTATGCCTATGACTGTATTATTACATCCTGCACATGCGTCAACAAGAGTGCATTCAACAACACTCTATGATGTAACGACGCAGCTTGTGTAATGAGCGTCGTTACACTATGGGCGCCATCATACCGTGGATGAGGGAAGCAAATGATAGGCAGGGAAAGCTTCTAACGTAAAGCTTCTCAATGTCGCATGGCAGCCAACCAGACAACCCGCAGTATCGTATTTTTAGTGAAGGTCAGTACCGAAGGCATATTTCGGATACTCCGTCTCCAGACTCCGTGCAGGGGTGTGTTAAGTTCCAGAGTTCTCCAAGACGGATATGGGGCTGCCCGGTGAATGAACACCCCTTTAGCGCGGGTGGACCTTTTTTTCCCACCAGATGGCGTTGAGGTATATAAAGGACCCAGCAGTTTCTCCCCCTCCTCTGCCGGCCCGTGGGTTCATGTCATCATCTTCAGCACCTATCTTAAATTACCTTGTGGAATAATCACCCCAGCGGGCACTGTTTTGCTCTGCTCGGCCCGTTCGCAGCTATTGATTGCATCGTCGTTCAACGGACTACTGAGAACCGCATGACCTGATTTACATCACCGGCCTCTTCCCTCTTTTGAAGGGGTTGTACCGTTTCTGAATCTTCTTTCTTGTTTTAACAAACGAGTCAAAAATGGTTGAACCGAGCGAGAAACCGAATACCCAGAACGACGATGTCAGCAAGCAGGAAATTCGAAACCCAGTTTCGTCGTCATCGTCAACTTCCGATAAGGAAAAGGTTGCTAAGAAGGGGAACTCGGATGCCACAAAGAGCTTGACCCCGGAGGATCTAGATGCTCAACTTGCTCACCTGCCCGAGCACGAACGAGAGATACTCAAGCAGCAATTGTTCATCCCTGAGGTGAAGGCTACCTACGGCACATTATTTCGATATGCAACCAGGAATGATATGATACTCCTCGCCATCGTTTCTTTAGCTTCTATTGCAGCCGGTGCCGCCCTACCGCTATTTACAGTATGTATACTGTCCAAGCCCGAAAGTTTATTTTATGGCTGACATGTTATAGGTCCTTTTTGGTTCCCTCGCCGGCACATTTCGAGATATTGCTCTCCATAGAATCACCTATGATGAGTTCAACAGTATATTGACGAGAAATTCTCTCTACTTCGTTTACCTTGGAATTGCCCAATTCATTCTCCTCTATGTATCCACCGTGGGTTTCATCTACGTTGGTGAACACATCACTCAGAAGATACGTGCAAGATATCTCCATGCAATTCTACGCCAGAACATCGGTTTCTTCGACAAGCTTGGGGCTGGAGAAGTCACCACTCGCATCACGGCAGACACAAATCTTATCCAAGATGGAATATCAGAAAAAGTTGGCTTGACTCTGACTGCCCTATCGACCTTCTTCAGCGCCTTTATTATCGGATACGTTCGATACTGGAAGCTTGCACTGATCTGCACCTCGACTATTGTCGCGATGGTTCTGGTTATGGGTGGTATATCTAGGTTCGTGGTCAAGTCTGGGAGGATGACATTGGTAAGCTATGGTGAAGGAGGCACTGTTGCAGAGGAAGTGATCAGCTCTATCAGAAATGCCACCGCCTTTGGAACCCAAGAGAAACTTGCAAGGCAGTACGAAGTGCATTTGAGAGAAGCGAGAAAATGGGGGCGCAGGCTTCAAATGATGTTGGGCATCATGTTTGGCTCTATGATGGCTATCATGTACTCAAACTACGGTCTCGGATTTTGGATGGGATCACGCTTCCTCGTCGGTGGCGAAACAGACCTGTCTGCCATCGTCAACATCCTCCTTGCGATTGTTATTGGATCCTTTAGCATTGGAAATGTTGCTCCTAATACCCAGGCTTTCGCTTCTGCTATTTCCGCCGGTGCTAAGATTTTCAGCACTATCGACCGTGTTTCAGCAATTGACCCAGGTTCTGATGAGGGAGATACCATTGAAAACGTGGAGGGAACTATCGAGTTCCGTGGTATTAAGCATATCTACCCATCCCGCCCTGAGGTTGTTGTCATGGAAGATATTAACCTTGTTGTCCCCAAGGGCAAAACCACTGCTCTTGTTGGCCCCTCAGGTTCCGGAAAGAGTACCGTTGTTGGGTTGTTGGAGCGATTCTATAACCCAGTTGCTGGCTCTGTTTTCCTGGATGGCCGTGATATCAAGACCCTCAACCTCCGATGGCTCCGTCAACAAATCTCCCTTGTCAGCCAAGAACCAACGTTATTCGGAACTACTATTTTTGAAAACATCCGATTAGGGTTGATTGGCTCCCCAATGGAAAACGAATCCGAGGAGCAAATCAAGGAACGGATCGTCAGTGCGGCCAAGGAGGCCAATGCTCATGACTTCGTTATGGGGCTGCCGGATGGCTATGCAACGGATGTCGGTCAGCGTGGTTTCCTTTTATCCGGTGGCCAGAAGCAGCGTATTGCTATTGCTCGTGCCATTGTAAGCGATCCTAAAATATTGCTGCTTGATGAAGCCACGTCTGCTCTCGATACCAAGTCCGAGGGCGTAGTACAAGCCGCTCTTGATGCCGCCTCTAGAGGAAGAACCACTATTGTCATCGCCCACCGTTTATCCACTATTAAATCTGCTGATAACATTGTTGTGATTGTCGGTGGCCGCATTGCTGAACAGGGTACTCACGATGAGCTCGTTGATAAGAAAGGCACATACCTTCAACTCGTTGAAGCTCAAAAGATCAATGAGGAGCGTGGAGAAGAATCCGAGGATGAGGCGGTGCTCGAGAAGGAGAAGGAAATCTCGCGCCAGATTTCTGTTCCTGCAAAGAGTGTCAACTCCGGAAAATACCCTGATGAAGATGTTGAGGCCAATCTCGGACGAATAGATACCAAGAAGTCCCTCTCCAGCGTTATACTGTCCCAAAAACGTGGTCAAGAGAAAGAAACCGAATACTCACTTGGGACTTTGATACGATTCATAGCTGGATTCAACAAGCCAGAGAGATTGATAATGCTCTGTGGATTCTTCTTTGCCGTTCTTTCTGGTGCTGGCCAGCCCGTTCAATCCGTCTTCTTTGCCAAGGGTATCACAACACTTTCTCTCCCGCCATCATTATATGGCAAATTGCGCGAAGATGCCAATTTTTGGTCCCTGATGTTCTTGATGTTGGGTCTGGTCCAGCTGATCACACAGTCCGCCCAGGGTGTTATCTTCGCTTTGTGCTCTGAGAGTTTGATTTATCGAGCACGCAGCAAATCCTTCCGTGCAATGCTTCGACAAGATATTGCCTTCTTCGATCTCTCTGAGAACAGCACTGGTGCATTAACTTCGTTCCTCTCAACCGAAACGAAGCATCTTTCTGGCGTGAGCGGCGCTACCCTCGGAACAATCCTGATGGTTAGCACTACTCTCATCGTTGCTTTGACTGTTGCTCTCGCCTTTGGATGGAAACTTGCCCTTGTCTGCATTTCCACTGTCCCTGTCCTTCTTCTCTGCGGATTCTATCGATTTTGGATTCTCGCACAATTCCAAACAAGAGCAAAAAAGGCATACGAGTCTTCTGCAAGCTACGCTTGTGAAGCCACTTCCTCTATCCGCACTGTTGCTTCTCTTACTAGAGAAAACGGCGTAATGGAGATTTACGAAGGCCAACTTAATGATCAGGCAAAGAAGAGTTTGAGATCTGTTGCCAAATCCTCGCTTCTATATGCTGCTTCGCAATCTTTCTCCTTCTTCTGTCTTGCTCTTGGCTTCTGGTATGGCGGCGGCCTTCTTGGAAAGGGAGAATATAATGCATTCCAATTTTTCTTGTGCATCTCTTGCGTTATCTTTGGCTCTCAGTCTGCTGGAATCGTCTTTTCCTTCTCACCTGATATGGGCAAGGCAAAGAGTGCAGCCGCTGATTTCAAGAGGTTATTTGACCGTGTGCCAACAATTGACATTGAGTCACCCGACGGCGAGAAGCTTGAAACCGTTGAAGGTACTATTGAGTTCCGCGATGTGCATTTCAGGTACCCCACACGTCCAGAACAGCCTGTGCTTCGTGGCCTCAACCTCACTGTCAAGCCTGGCCAATATATTGCATTGGTTGGGCCTAGTGGATGTGGCAAGAGTACTACCATTGCTCTTGTAGAAAGGTTCTACGACACATTATCTGGCGGTGTATATATTGACGGAAAGGACATTTCAAGGCTTAACGTTAACTCTTACCGAAGCCATCTAGCGCTCGTTAGTCAGGAGCCTACTCTCTACCAGGGAACAATACGGGACAACGTTCTCCTCGGAGTCGACAGAGATGACGTCCCTGATGAGCAAGTGTTTGCTGCATGCAAGGCTGCCAACATATATGACTTCATCATGTCCCTGCCCGATGGTTTTGCCACTGTTGTCGGGAGCAAGGGAAGTATGCTATCTGGTGGACAGAAGCAACGTATTGCGATCGCCCGTGCTTTAATACGAGATCCAAAGGTTCTCCTCCTTGACGAGGCTACATCAGCACTTGACTCTGAATCCGAAAAGGTGGTTCAAGCTGCCCTTGATGCCGCTGCGAAGGGTCGAACGACTATTGCTGTTGCTCACCGACTCAGTACTATTCAAAAGGCAGACATTATCTATGTCTTCGATCAGGGCCGCATTGTTGAGAGTGGCACTCATCACGAACTCCTTCAAAATAAGGGCCGATATTATGAGTTGGTTCATATGCAGAGCCTTGAGAAAACTCATTAATGTTACACATATACCCACTAGTTTTCCCAACCCTACCCTTCACATTTATATTAATATCTATCCACTCTTCTTCTTCCCCGTTTCCATGTAGTTGGCGGGAAAAGTTTCTGTTTATGCTATTTCGGTATATATTTCCCACTTCCTTGTACAGTTTGACCCCATTTACATACGGTACCTCTCACCCTCTCCTGTATATATCCATATTTGGCGTTCTGGTCTAGGCCGAAGATCGTCGTGGCGAAGCAACGCTTAGATGGTCGCATCTCTTTTTTTAGTCTCTTACATGCATATAGACCAATAATGAATCAATATAGCTTTTGTTCTCTCTTGAAAAGCAGTGTCACCCCTCCTCCCCTTCCTGACCTCAATTGGCTCTCTCCAAGTCTTCTGCTTTTATCAAGCTCGTATCTCAAAGCTCTGCGGATTTTACGAGCTGGGCAGTTCCAGCAGTACTTTGTGTGACACACGACAAAACCAACCACAGCCTCACCCTTTCTCTCTCTGTCTCTGCATATACGAATGGCTTCCAATTTCAGAACAGCCCGATGGTGCGATTGACCAATATTCTCTAACTGGCCTACCACTTAAATCAACGATCTTCGGATTTGATTGAACCGAATGCCAAAGATCAGCACACGAAAAGAGGAGGCCATGGATCTCACCCAGATTCCGTAGTTAGGCTGTAGCAGCTAAGCAGCAAAAGACAGATATAAATATGGCCTCCTGCATCCCAGGGAGATACCCCAAAAATAATTTCTCAGCTCACCTTTAGATAAGACAACATCACAATATTCACCACAATATTCGCTCAAAGCCATCTTATTCATCAGCTGTCTTAAGCAGAATGAAGTACACCGTTTTCCTTGCCTTGGCTGCTCTAGTCATCTCTGTGAGTGCCAGGTGTGATGGATCCCCGGACCCTACTTGGAGGCATTCCGGCAGTTGCCCAGGCGCCGGTATCGGTTCGAAAGAATGTAATGAAAGATGCCAGAAAGAGGGCTTTGGCTGCGGCGGTTGCGGAGGCTTTGGGTACAGAGATTGCTGGTGTTGCAGCAATGATTGTGACAGCAAGTATGGCTTCTTACTTCTAGATGCAGCACAGCTGATCTGAAACTTTATTGAGCCTCAGCTTCTAACTTGTCAAAGGCCTTGAAAAGCGGAAGATCAATTTATGACCATGCGTCCGATGATTTGGCCTACTGAACCGGTGATATCTTGTGGACATGCATGTCAGTGGGCAGGAATGACGCGGAAGGGCTTATTTGCGGTTGGGCATCTGGAGTAGTGACCGTCTCAGTGCATTCTTTTTGCCAAATGCTTAATTATCAAGCAGTCAATTAGTACTTAGTCTTTCGAAATATATCGTCTTATGGGATGCATATTTGAAATATCTATTCCACGTTTGAAGACTGAGAGGCTCGGTCTGGCAGGGGCAAGTGAGCTTGGATCCCACAAACCTAAATTGTCCTGCACGTGACTAGATTTCACGTGAGCACCAGCTTTCCAGGTTAGGTAGGTTTCGAAGGGAAGCTTAGTGGAGCCGCTGGCCTTAATTTCGCGTAACTTGACGTCAAGAGACATCGACATCAACAATCGTCATAATGCACCACACCGATCCTGTGGATCTGGTTTTGAGTGTTTGTCAGTCTATATATGATGTGAAATGGCTATTCAGTGTATACGACCGCCAGGCTCTTTATATTTCACTTTCATTCCCACGCCTTCGGCCAAAACCCACTCTCTCTTTCCATTGCATACTTATCAACTTATCAACTTATCAACTACTTGTTGTGATGTAGATTTATAGTGGCCTTATTGTGGACTAAACAGACCTCACTCACTTCATACCTCCTTGGCTTTATTCAGAAACCATGCTCTTGTTATGGATGAAAAAGTTGGCTTGAACCCTGGCCGTCTCTGTCCTTGAGACTTTCTCCCTCCTGGCCAGTGCTAATCCGGAGCATTTTTAAGCGAAGGATACTCAATAATATACCCCTACAAAATGCCCAAGGTACTATATGGGATGAATATGACGGAATATACTTAACTATGGCCATCACAACGTTTGCAATAAAGGTTCAAACAGATTGGGTTACGTCTGACTGTCCCTCGGTTTTATTGTTACGCGTCAACACTCTGTGACCATCTCATTTGAGCCTTTTTCTCGATGCTGTCAGATACCCTCTCGGCTCACAACCTGTTAATAACTTGAATACCTGACTTTAAAATTCTCTGCCGAAATATTTTATAGCCTCTCGACAATACCATTGGGACCTTTAGTATGGTTGCTTCCCATACATACTTTAGCAACAAATCCGTTTTCCGGCTTTAGGAATGTCATGTAACCATTCTCCTCGTCCAAGGCATATTGTTTGGGTTGATTTGGAACAGCTATATAGATGATTTATACTAACAAATGCCTCTACAGCAACCGATGACTTACTCTATTTCTCGGAGACTACAGTGCCATACTTAATAAACTGAATAAGAGGTGACTCGGCTAGTCGATAAGTAGCAAGGTAAGACCTCCACTTGTACTATAACTGCATATTCTTAATTTATTCTCATTGGCACCGTTATGTTCAATCGTTGACGGAATAACAGAAATGCCCTAAATAAAGGAAAGTGATAACTCCGGGATCCTGTTTCTCCCCATTCAGCCAAGGCAATCACTAGTCAGTGTTAGTATTTCAGCCATGCAGGTGAATGTGAATCCTTCTTCAACCATTTTGATTCGTCTCTATTTTTTTTTTTTTTTTTGTGTTACCTTGCCGTGTCACCTTGGACACTCGAAGGACTTGGTACAAATTGTCTCTACATACACCTCCTTAGGGGCTACAGCTCAAGTTGAAATCCATTACGTCAACCTTCACGTACTCAAGGCATCTATACCAAATTGGAAGTTTTATACCTTTGTGTCGATGTGGTTGATAGTGTATTTTCTGTTAGTATAATTGCTTTTGTCTAAATTTCGAGTGATACGAGATATTGCTATTCCGCCCAAAGCTGACATTTGCAACCCTGGTCTAAATTTGTGATAGGCCTGATCTCAATTTCTGAACCTGCCCTTCAAGATAGTTGTTTTCTTTCTGAGATTCAACTTCACGTTGACTTCAATGGCCTGAAACTCACAATCCCTCTTCATTCCATTTCAGAGACCGCGAATACAAACCAAAATGTCGAAGATGCAGTCCAAACCATGGCTGCTGGAGGCGCGGTCATCGGAGGCGTTTATCATTCTCGTTGTGTCCATTGCTATCTTTGTGGTAAGTAATACCGACTGTTGTCAGGAATTACGGTGCACCGTTCGAGAATGGCCTCCTAACAGCGTCATAGGACATATTTCTTTACAGCATGGTATGAAACAACGACACAACTCATTACCCAGCAGAGTGCTTCATCAGATGTTTACAATTCGCACTAGATTGTACCTATTATCCCGAAAGCCCTTGTTGACCGTATCGGAGTATCGCCTGATGATGGTGCGTACAGAGCATTGAATGCATAGTTTCTCCAACTGTTTTGATGAATGACTTACTAACATATTGGCATAGCTCAAAGCTGGATGTCAGTTCTACTAGCAACTTACGGCGGAACTCTCCTACTGGGATCCCGTACGTCTATCGTCTCTCATTCTCTTCGAACTCACCCGTTAAAAAAACAATAACTGTAGCAATATTCGGGTATATCGCGGATAGAACCAAATCACCGAAAGGGCCATTCATTGCAGGCCTGCTCGCTCTCGCGCTTTCGACGGCACTTTTCATGCTGGCTAGGTCCCCTGCTTTATTCGCGATTGCCAGGGGTCTCCAGGGATTCTCCGGTGCTGCTGTTTGGGTTGCTGGGCTTGCACTTGTCGTTGATACCGTGGATGATAGCAGAGTTGCAGAAGCCATGGGATACACTACCATGGGCCTGAGTCTGGGATCTTTATTAGGCCCCGCTGCTGGTGGAGTGTTGTACGACAAACTTGGATTCTATGGAGCTTTCTACGTGCCAATTGGATTGATAATTTTGGACGTTATCTTGCGGGTGGTCTTGATTGAGCCTAGTAGTATGACCTTTTTCCTTATCCTTTCATTTCACTACTCTCGAACACGGACGCTGATAAGAGCGTTTCTCAGCTGCCAAACAGTGGAAAGTTATGGAAAGTGATGAACGCTCGCCGTTGCTGCAACCCCCGACATCCACTACTAATGACTCAAATAAACCCAGTTCAACGTTTCAAATATTCCATTTGCTGGGCCAAAGGCGTCTCCTTGTGGCTTTATTAGGTGGTCTAGTTGGTGCCCTTACCTTTTCTGCATTTGAAACAGTAAGGCGAACTCTTTCCTCTCATGAAAAACAAGACGGCTTCCTGACCTTTCCTAGACCCTTCCCCTCTTCCTAATCGAGTCGTTCCACTGGTCTTCCAGCAGTATAGGACTGGTCTTTTTCATTATGGCGATTCCCGGCATGGCTGGCGCCCTAGTTGGAAAAATAGTTGACAGATGTGGACCGCGAGTCTCTGCCACGGTATCTTTTACCATTGCAGCTGCAACTTTAATCCCACTCCGCTTCGTCCAGCACCCTGTCATAGCAGAATATTCTCTACTGATCGGTCTTCTGGCAACAAACGGCTTAGCAATCTGCGCGGCTTCTCTTGCCGCAATGTCAGAAGTGTTTGAAGTTGTTTACTCCCCTGAGAGCAGTGGTGCATCGAACAATGCGAACCCTGTGGCCCAGGGATATGCTCTGTATAATATGGCATTTGCTGGCGGACAACTTGTTGGTCCGATTTTAGGAGGGTTTCTCAAGGCCCGCCTTGGATGGAATACCATGACACTGGCTATTGCTTTAATAACTGCTGCTACGGCTGTTGCCAATGCCCTCTATGCAGGAGAACAGCCCTCATATGATGAACTTATCGGCCCGGAGGAGGTGACAGCTGCATAGAGTGGCTCGCATTATAGGTACGGGCTGGCTTGTTTCTATATGCCGTCAAAAGATCGTCAGTTAAAAAGGTGCTTGTAAGATACGTGCGTAGCGATTTATATCTTCATATTATAAATAGTTATCTCTTCTTAGTAGTTAGCTAGCCGTCATAGAGATGAAATCAATACTATTTCCGTTCACCCATCAAAGATTATGAGTACATGTTGAAGGTTCTTCTCCACAGATGCCATGCTACGTGACATAGACCCAAATGTATAGCTAGCGACGAATGTGTATAAGGTCGTGCCACTTGTGACTGGATATACGGGACACTGTAGCTCTTCATAACAATTGGTTCGTGGAATCCTAAGAGTTCGCATACGTCCAGTCCTACATAATATTGTCGGAGAGTATCTGTTGGGTCTGTCCATCTGAACAAGAAAAGGCCGTCGCGGCCCGTGCCGAGAGAGCCATCAATTAACTAACCATTTATAGTCTGCTCAATAGGCGCCTTGGAAGAAACATTGCGCGCAGGATTCAGGTCTGTAAGTGGTGGGCAGTCTCTCGGGTCTGGGTAGAAGACTACGCCCAGCTCCTTCGTCACCTTCACCTTCTCTTCCGTCGTAAGATACATCCCAAGCTTCCCAAGCTCAACCCCGATCCCAGATTCATTCTCTAAAGCCCAAACACTACAGCCCTCCACTACATCTTTGCCAGTGTTACTCTCGAGATTTCTTTCTCTTGGATGTTCATCGAATCCTGGCCATGTAAAAATCCATTTAATCCCGTCATCATGTTCTGCGGTCATTTCAGCTACGGAGCCGTGAAACAGAGTATGGTAGCTTCGCCAATGCTTCACCCAATTTCGGAGCAGTTCACAAAACCGATCTCCCGCCCCTTGACTCGATAAGCGTTCCTTGGGGCGG